GTGGTGATCAGGATTTGCAAATATTTCTAAGGGGCAGAGGCGCTAGTGCCGCTGGAGATCACTTTGCTAAGGGATTTAAAATGCACATATTTAAGCAGTGTTTGAATAGGAGTAAGTTCGTTGCAGTCGCGCTATGTGGATGGTCTTGAATGTTTCCGAGTCATGTCAAAGGGCTGCGTAATGGGCTGCGTCTCCGCCTTCTTTAGCCCGTATTATCAGCCCAAAATACTGTATACTGTTAGCTTCACTTGCAGAACATTGTGAATACCTTCAAAAGAAAAATTGTCTATCTAACTCTTTTCGCAATAAGCCACGAAAATCTGTGGAAGCTTTGTTTTTGAAAAAATAATTAAAGCCAGATTTGAAAAAGATGTTCAAAAGATAGGAAGTCGTTTTGTTTTACCTAATCGACAACAGATAATTAACTACTCTTCACACATTAAAAAGCCGAGTAAACAGCTTCTAAACAAAAGTTAAACGGTTAAAAAGTAAGAAAGTTCTGCAGTATTCGCAAATGTTTGGAGTGGAAAGAATTGTGCAGAAGCCTACTTTCACGGCCGCTGTCAATTAAAAACCTTGGCATGTCAGCGGCTACCTTTCTTCCTTGATTAGTTATTGTCATTTCGCTGTAAGAGCGCAAATTGGATGTATATTTTGAAAGCATAATACTTTCGACAGATGCAGGCTCATTTCCCCAAAGGTAGTTGTCTAAAGAAGTATAGTTTTGTGAAAACTTGAAAAGTTCGGAAACACAGTTTAAAGTTTAGAAAACTAACTGTATAAAAATTCGAATTCGTTGGTATCACTAGGGGCAATCATATGTCCTTGCACCCTCTCGACACAAAATCTTTCAGCTGTAGAATGACGTACCCCTGTTTGGTTAATCGGCATCTCTTCAGGAAACAACTGCGGGTCGACCTTAAAAAGTGGATTCGTTACAGTAATAAAGTTTGCTATGTCTTTTCGACGTAGGTATAGAAGCATAAGCAAACCCCGCTAGTTAAAATAAAGCGTAATGACTTAAAAATTTAATAAATGTTAGAAACTTTACCGTGTAAAGCTGCAAAATCAAAGATAAATGGAATAAATCAAAAATTATTCTTTTAAAGTGGATCAAAAAATTATGTACTTGTTCAGCGTTTTTCTGTCTTGTCACTAAAGCTCAAAAAGTATGTAGTTGACAAGCACTATCAGGATGAAATTTTGTTTTTAGGCTAGTCTTTTTGGATTTGGTTCTCACAAGTTCATTTGAGAACTTCAGTTATCTGCGCAAGTTGAATGTTATATCAGACAAGAGTTATTTATAGGGAGAACTTATTACCTCACCAGATTAGTCTTGGAATTTTTGAATTTTTTACAGAGCTTTTTGAGCGGTGGCTTCTATTTTCTCAAGCTGAAGAGCTCACAGTTGAAATCAAAGTTGCGCCAGTTAGATTCACCGTTGAGAATGCAATAGGGTGAGTTTGAGCACCATTTCTTTTTGTAGCATACTTAAATGGAAATAGGTTTGGTTATTAGATTAGTACGATGGACCGGTAGATAAGGCGCCTGAGACAAGCAGGCTTCTTTTTCTTTCACTTTTCATTACAGTTGTAGGTGGTAGCATTTTTATATCAAACGTACTTTGAGTTTATCTTAATTTACGGGCATAAAGTTTTGCTACACTTATAGATTGCGCAGAACAATCTAACACTGTCTGCAGTGCAAACATCGAGCGCCCATCCAAGTGCTTGAGGATTTTAAAAAACTTCGTTGGAACTGCCATGTGACTGATGACCCAGGACATTGAAACATCAAATAGAGGTTTGAAAACCTCTTACTGTTAGAGCCCCCTAATGTAGCGGTAGGCAGGACTGCAGCTCAAGCTCAGCTGATCTGCACTGTTTCACAGCGACCGCTGTCTGTTCATTCTTCTATGCTCCCGGCTTAAGTTAATTATTGAGAAACAAAAATTCAAGTAGATCAAACTTAGACAATGGTGCTCTCCGTGCACTTCTTACATTGCCTTTTTACTCAATGGAAGGAAGAAGTATAAACTGCTTTATTTAAAAAAATGTTTCTCTGAAAAGAACTATCTGCACGCGCTTTTTTATAGCTCCATAAATGGGGAGAAGAGTATTATATGTTTGTTACTTCTCTTTTGACTACTCATTGACTTTTCGCGCACCATTGGTTGACTTTCCTGTAACCACTTCTCAACCTCAGCAATTGAAGTGGTTGCATTATCGGTTTACGTAATTAACTAATGTGGCGTTACTGTCATAAATCAAAGAGCAGATAGATTACAATAAATTTTTTCTTTTACGTTTTTGGCAGCACTTGAACACATTTAGAATCATTTTAACGTTGTGACAAGTATTCTCTTACTTTGAAGTCGTAAATGCAGAAGTATAATTGACTATTTTTTTCTACAGCACTCTTCGGGTTTTGAAAGTAGTATGACTCCAGAGCCTTATATCTTGGGCAGTCATTAATTTTTTCCCAACCTGTAAACAATTGAAGTAGGTGATTATACACAATGTTAATTATTGCATCTTTGGAAGAACCATGGAATATAGAGTAAAACAAAAAAAATTTTTAATTTAAGGTAAAAATGTATAATGTTATGAGAGCAACACTAACATTCAAAAAGTCTTTAAACAAAAACAAGTAGCCTTTTACGGCTTCTCCGTATCTCAGGAGAACTGAATGTGAAATGTGAGGATTAGTAGCAAGAAAACAGTGAAAATCTACTTGAGCCTGTAGCTGGCCATTTTCAGACAACTTGTCCACCTGATGTGGGTCTTTTTTTATGCTTGATATGACTTGACTTAGGTAAGACCATGGGATCAACAGTCTGTCTTCACCAAACGAGTTTTTTAGTTTGATACTCAAATGTTTATTGCAAATTTAACCCCTCTCTTTGTCCGGTAAGCTTGTGAATTTTGCTTCATTCAGGTCATTTTACAGGTCAGTTTAGAAGTTTTGTAATTCGTTTTTGAAACTTACTGGTTCTACTGAGTCAGAAAGCAGTATTGTACTGCTTTTATGAACTGTTTGCTTATTTAAGACTTTTCACCTTAAACGTTGGAAAATTCCTGAATGTTTTTATTGTTTTTTTATTAATTTTTTTATTTGCTTTTTTTCTTCTTTGTTATTATGTTGGTTACTTCTATTTCCTTTGCAGTTTCTACTCTGTCTTCATAAAACCCTTCGTTATCTCAATATGGATGTAGTTGTGTACAGTACTCTCTTATTTTATTTTAGGTGCTGCAGTGAATAAGATCTTCAAAGATTTTAAATAAAAATTTAGAAAGAAGCTATTGAGCAGTGTAATAAGTGGCCAATTCCCATATGCAAAATATGCTTTATCAGCAATATTGCAGTCAAGAGCTCGCTCCCAAACATGCTTTTTCTCATCACGAACCTTACTTCATTTTTTGTATACAGAGCTTTTAGTTCTATATAATTCACTCGTGAGAGTTTTAGACTTGTCTATTTAATCTTTGCCAGCCTTTTAACGGTCAAGTGTTACAATTTGGTTGTTATCACTTTGACACTTCGCAGGACAGCTTCCGCGCTAGCGGGTAGTGCCATGAATAGTGTAATTACCTCAGTGTCGCGAATCTGGATGCCTGGGGAGAGTATACCTCCGTACAATTCGTATACTTATAAATCTCACATTTCTTGAACACTCTTTCGTCTACTTAAGATTATATACTTAGTCACGGTTTTTTAATACTTCTTACTGCCCAGAACTAAAGCAATAGAAATGTCGCTAATTTTGTCATAAAAGTGCGACAAAAATAGTGAGGAGGAGCAAATAGAGAAAGGCTGCGAAAGAGAAGCACGCATAGTGGCGCAAGAGCACTTTCGCTTTCTAGTGTATGCTAGTTAAACACCTTACTCGAGGTAGAAGTTTGTTGCTATAATATGACAAAATAAAATTTGTTATTATCTATATGGCACAAAGGAAAAACGAGTTTTTAGGCTGCAGGAAGTTTGAATTACTAGAAAATCTGAAGTATTTTTAGAGTTAACTTACTGTAAACGTATTGCGACCTTTCTGGCAGCTAAAAGAGATTAATGAAATGAACTGTTAGATAAGTCACAGGTCTACTATTATTATCAACAAAATTCATAGCTTGCTTCGAATCTTAGAACCGTAGAATTTCACACTTCAATACATTTCGCTTCAGTAATGAGAAGTAGTAGTTTATGCTTACTCGGTTGTGACATATGTTTCCACCGTGTGCCGTAGCACCTCCACAGGTTCTTTTACCCTCGTTGAGTACTAAAATTCCATAGTAACTGTAATAAATGAGCACTGGTACTATGTCAATTTGGAATTTTTAGTTTCTTTGCTGCCGCTGTACCCATCAGCAATCAGACTTTTCAATTAATAAGATTCAGTTAAAGACTCCTAATCGAATAATGGCCGTTATCTTATCGGTT